GGGGTCCCAGGAGTCTAAGGAGCATGACCTATGATGCTCACAGCAGGGGGCAGGTTCAGCCCCATTTAACATGTCTTTGTCTAGAGGTCAATGAATATCTCATCTTCAAGTGTCACGTGACATGCTTGTGTGGCCAGCACTCTTGTCCTGAAAACTCCTAGCAGCATGTACCTGAAGAAAAACTGGCAGCAGCAGTGGTCCTCATGTGTTAATTACACTTGTGAAGTCTATTATGCATAGAAAGGGCACCTGCTGGCAGTGAAAATGACTAGAATCCGCCCTTCCTGTGTGGTGAGCAAATTGAGAGTTCATTTCTACAGGAGATAATAGTTTTCAGACTCCACTTGTGTATCCCCTGCAAGGGGATGTACTTGACATTTAAATCATCTGCAGAAGAACAAACCTCCTTCAAATTTACATGTTGTGGGCTCCCAGCCCTTTGCTTAAAATGCTAGTTATCCCTGCTGGCTCTGGCCACCAAGGATTCAACTCAAGGATCTCAATAGACTAAAGTAATTATAATTAACACTGATTCAATGTTCATGACATTTTTACTTTCTGCCCAGAGCAGTTACATCACACTAAAATGATCAAGTGAAGACTAAGGACCCGCCTTCTTCTTCTGTGGTCTTTCCTTTTATTACACTTATATCTTTTGGTTACCAGCAGATGCCAATACCCATTGGCCTGAAATCACCCTTGATCAATTATCACAAAATCCTTTGTGAAAACAAAGGACTAGGAGGAAGGCACTTATATTGTATAAGCATGAGGAGGACTCATCACAAAGCTATTTAGGCACCAGAAAATGCAGAGTTCAACTATGGGTTTGGGATGGCAGACTCAGCACCCTTCCTTGATAAATTTTCTATTCCAAGTCTGAACTGGAATAGAACATGCCTGTGACTCAGCAGACTATGACACAGTTCTTGAATGCTGGAGTTAGAGATGACATTGGAAAGAGAATCTGGTACAGCCTTCAACGAAATTCAAACAAGACAGGAAAGGCAGTGGCTAGAACCACAACTGGGTATGGGAAATAACTGTTATTGTTTGTTATTGTTGTTTTCAAAGGAAAGCATTCAATTATAAAAATTCCATTCATTATAGACATAATTGGAAATATAATTTAAAAATGCGTAAATAGTTTCTTCTCCATCACAAGTCATTGTTAAATATTTTGATGTTCCAAATCTGAACTTTAGGACATGTATACAAATATATGGTTCTTGCTTATGATCGTGAGACTGGAATCACACAGAACACAGGGTAAATGCTGGGACAAGTTATTAAACCCTTTGGGGCCTTGGTTTACTGATCCATGAAGTGGGGCTGATAATACTTGCTTTGCAGGGCTGTTGGGAGAATCTGATGAGATCACAGAGGTAAAAGACAGTTCAGTGACTGGGAACTAGCAGACTTACCACTGGTAGCTGCTGGGTGTTTTTGTTTTTGTTTTTGTTTTTGGGGTGTGTGTGGGGGGAGGGGGGTCTTGTTATCCAACCTTAGGTACTTGGCATACACCCAGGCTAGTCTTGGATTTGAAGGAAATCTTCTGTCTCAGACTTCTGAGGACTAGGATTACATAGGTATATGCTACCACATATGACTTAAATTTATAGTTTTAAAACAGCTAATAATTTAGTAATGAAACTTTCCAAATAATGAAATGCTGAAGTTGAACTTTTTGGCAAAGGTACTATGTCAATGGAGGAGGGGTTCTCCATGCTAACTGTGCTGGGGTCACTCTGTGAGGCTGTTTCCCACCTTCCCCAACCTCCCTTCCTCTCTCTCCTTCCCCTTTCTTGGGTGTGCCTCAAGATTTTGCTTCCCTTTTAGCTCCCTGTCCTCCTCTTTGATCTTCTGTTCAGTACTACACTCTTTCATCCAAACAATGACAAAAAACACTACCAGATGACAAACATGTTCTTCTCACTGATGTAGTAGTCAAAGGAAAAACTAAGAACTTGTTGGTTTAGAATGACAAATAAGCAAAGGTCTTCTTGAGGACCCCATGGTCTGCACACTTTTGTAGGGAGAAGAAGAGTGGGGATGGGAGAAGAGAAGCTGATGTAATCTAGACAAGTTTTGGGAGGCAGAATCCCAGTGCAGGTGGAGATGCCAGCTTTGGATAGACTGTTCCTGCCTCCTCCAGGGACAGGAAAGGAACAGAGGGAAGGATGGCTCAAGAATAGTAGGCCTTGCTCCTCATTGGAGCAAGAAGCCTTGCCTTTGACCTGACTATGATAGGTGTAGAGAGGGTCAGGGCTGATAGTAAAGAAGTAGGGAGAACTGAGAATGGGTGGTACCATTGTTCTAGCAGGCCCCACCTTCAGTGTCCGTTTGCAGTATCTATCAAAGAAGGAACAGATAGGAAGATTCTTATCATGCCTATATTCAACACCTCATCATCTCAGTGCCTCTTGATGGAGACTGATGGACATTTTGGACTTGACTAGATGCTGCAGTGTCTGCAACACAGCACAAACACTCATCAACTGAAAATGCCTTAAAGGTCCAGTGCAAGCAGGAAGGCAAGAAAATCCAGTAGGATCAGTGAACATGAAGGACAGAGAGGGAGCTAGGATCTTAGGAGGAAGCTGTGGTCACAATAGAGGGTATGAAAAGCAGGAAAAAGAAAGAGGCAATGGAGGGGCTTTCAAATGGGTGCATGGTGTCAAGAGTTACCCTGTTGGGTGGCTGACAATAGGTTTCAGGTTAAGAAGTACTTCTATAAAAGCAAGTGTTTGGGAAGGATTGGAGGAGGCCTTCTTCAGGAAAGGGCAGAGATTCCTAGATGTAAATCCAGATTCTCCAAGCTGTGCAATCAGGCCGTGATGGACTTGAGGCAAGGACTTGGTGTTGTCCTCTTAGCTCAGCCCTCTCTGTGCTATTTCATAGGTTCTCTGAGGGAGGGAGGTCACTATGCAGACGACAAACATACTTGGTGTTGTCCTCTTAGCTCAGCCCTCTCTGTGCCATTTCATAGGTTCTCTGAGGGAGGGAGGTCACTATGCAGACGACAAACATCACCAGTGTGTGAAGGAGGGGCTACAGTGTGGCTTCCAACACAGAAAATGGCAGGTATAGGGGTGGAAAGGAGCTAAGGATGTCTAAACAGATGGGACACAGACATGCAGATAAGCAGACAGCAGTGACAGGGCAGGTTCCTAGATGCTGTGTTAAGAACCAAAAGGCAGGGATGATCTGGCATCATAACATGGCTGTAGGGACACAAGCCTCTGACCTTCATCTTGACCCAGGAACAGAGGAGTAGTGGCTGATGGGCAGAACACAGCACTCATAGTTTCCTAGGGGACAGGAGACACACAGAACTTGCATAGAAGTGGGGTTCTGAGGGAGCACTGGGGTCTGAAAATACTACTGAGGAAAGCAGGGACCCCAAACATACCCTGTTTCTCCTCTGTTTAAAAACATAAAACTCCTCCTACCTGCTCAATAAGGGATCAAAATGCAATCTAGACCAGTAATATCTGAAGGGCATCTTTAATGTAGAACAAAGTGTAAAAAGACACCGCAAACACAAGGTGCACACAATTCCTGATCAATCAAGAAACACTCTACAAGGCTGGAGAGATGGCTCAGCAGGTAAGAGTGCTGGCTGCTCTTGCAGAAGACCTGGGCTCAATTCCTCAGCACCCACATGGTGGCTCAAAACCATCTGTTATTCCAGTCTCAAGGGATTCAACACCCTCTTTTTTTGGCCTGTGCAATAGCATATATCCAGTGAAACACTAATACACATAAAATAAACAAATAAATAAAAATAAAAAAACCAATGGAGTACTACTCAAAAAAAAAATGGAATCTTGAAATTTGCAGGAAAATGGATGGAACTAGAAGAAACCATTCTGAGT